CATGAATCTATTGCTTCATTTTTATTTTTACATCAAATGATAGCATGCTAAATTTCTGTGCAAAAGAGAGCTTTCAATACTCAGGTAATGTACTGGAAGTATTGAAGATACTAGAGTATTGAAGATATCTAACAATTACATGGCCATGATATACATGTAGAATAAGGAAACTCCAAAGGTCTATTTCAAACTTTAGTCTATGTGTGCTCAATTTGCCTGGTTTTAACTGCTATCAAAGTAGGGTATGTATTCATTATAACAGTGTTTACTTTATTTTTTAAGGAAGTAGCTTTATATAATTATCCAAGTTTAATTTAATTTGTATAGTAAATGCAATTAAGAAAAGGATACTGCCTGAAAAAAAAATGCATTTCTGCATTCTTCACAAATCATTCTGTCTAGTCCTAATAGGAGAATCTAGAGTAAGTGATACTGAATTTGAAGTACTAAAATCTTCATCAGTTTTAATTGTTGATTCTTCCAGATTACTTTGGGCATCCTTGCAATTTTGTGGTGTAGACTGTAGAGCGGAAAAACATTTCAAATGTTTCCTAAAACTTTCACTTTCTCTATCACTTGACTTATGGAAAGATCGCACACAGTGTAAACATTGAACCTTTTTTTTTTTTTTTAGTTATTTTTTTGGTCCCTTTCCCTACACTTACTTCTATAGATTAAATATTCTCAAAATAATACGAATAAATATCATCCAAAACAAAGAATACCTAAGTGACAGTCACAAATATGTGGTTTCCTGATTTTTGTGTACTTTATCCTGTTGATGATGGATATTTATTATACTTTATGACAGACTATTATAAAGGTCATTTCACATGCGTCAGAAACATTTAATTCTGGGAAATAATTAGAAAGCTATTCAGATTAAGTCAAGGTACCCTTTGAAGAATGTGAACAAATGAAGGTGTTGAAAGAGATTTTCAGTAATCCAATAGTCATGCCAAAATTGTATTTGTAACAGTTTGAACTGATGTGTGGATATTTGACTAAATTGGCTTTTCACAATCAGTTTAAATAACTAAAATAAAAGTGGTAGATTTTTATTTAAGTTATTTTTATATATTAGCTATATTTTTAAAACTATTTAAAGGGGCATCTGGGTGGCTCAGTCAGTTAAGCATCTGCTTTTGGCTCAGGTCATGATCTCATGGTTCGTGGGTTTGAGCCCCATGTTGGGGCCTGTTTCACAGCCTGTGTTTCCTCTCTTTCTTCCCCTCCCCCACTCGTGTTCTCTCTCTCTCTCTCTCTAACTCTTTCTGTCTCTCTCAAATAAGTGAACATTAAGAACAATTAAAAAATAAAATAAAATTGTGTTTATGACCCAAGGGGCTTTCATTTGAAAGATGATTAATTATGTTTATGACAAATATAAAGACACATAATGCCTCCCTCTTTTTTTGAACCTAGATCTAAATATGCATACAATGTATGTATAAACATATACTTGTATGTATACAGATGTAAGTTATTATAATACTAATGATAATAACGTTGCAATAGTCCCTTTGCTGAGTGTCTACTATACCCTATACACTATGTGTGGCATGCTTATGCTTGCTTATTTTATCTCGTATCAGTATTTTGATATAGGTAAAATTAACCCTATGTTACAGTGTAGAAAATGGAGCCTCAGAGAATTTAGTTAACTATCCTAAGAACACATTGCTATTGAGTGACACTGCTATGGAAATTTGGAACTTTATTTCTAGTAACTACTTAGCAATGCTACTTCATCACATCTGTTACCTCTGGTTGTAACATGAGTAAAAGTAAGACTCTCAGCTCATACTCAGAGATCAAGGAATAGAATTCTTCAGAATGTACACATGTATATGACATTAAATTCTTTACTCATTTCTGTCTTGGTAGCACACTTCTTAATGACATGGGATTTGTGAGACAGTTAGGAATAAAGCAAATGAGCACAAAAGAGCGTTCTGAAAATACATGTTTAAAATATGACTCTGCTTCCATTGTCTTTCCTAATTTCCATTAGGATCCACAAAACAGTGTCGATAATAAAAACACAATGCTAGAACATAAAGAATACAGTGCTATGTCACATCACTGGACAGGCAGCTACCACTCTCATAGAATAGGAAGAACAACCACTCAAGCACACCCTCGAAGAAGGTGTCAGCGCTGAGAGCCACTAGGAAACCTCTACTGGAAAGCAGCCTCCTGTGATGTTGCACCAGTGATAGGGCAGCAAATTAACTGAGTAGAGGCTGATTACAAACTCCTGGTGTCTGTAAACAACACTCATGCATTGATGTGTTCAATGTAAAGATTTCTATTTACATAAAAGGATCTGGCAGATACACACACACACACACACACACACACATCCCTTTAGCATATATAGACTAATTGCTCCATAGTAGCATGACCATTCAGTATAACGAACTACTTTAATTGGTGTGATATTTGCATGTTAAGTATTTCCTTAATATGTATTTAAAATTAAAAAGAAAAATCCGTAAGATTCTGCTTACTAAAATGTATCTGGTTTGTCTTCTCTTAGGTCTCACCGTGACACTTTCCAGCAGTTAACATTTGACACTATTCCCATGGAGTTCAATTTATGGCTTTCCTCCAGTTCTGCAGAATCATAAGGCCCATCTCATTCATATCCATTTATGGGATCATTTTTCCTATAATTATGTAGACTGAGAAATGTCAACCCTAGACCCTGAGAAGTATTGACAAGACCAAAGTTTGTAGCCCTCTTGGTGATCATTCTTAGGTATCTGAAGTTTGAGAACAGAAGTTCACACTAGAACTTTTTAAAAAAATGCTCAGAAGGCAGACTATAAAGAAAACAGATTTTTGCTTGTAAACTCATTATTTACCACTTGTGTCTTGGAAGTAGACTGACCTGACCTTGAATCTGGGTTAACTTAGGACACAGTCAGACAACTATTAGAAACAAAGACCATAGTCATAGAAGCTGCAGCTTCCCTTCCAAATGAGTGCAATCTTAACTGCCAATGTCCTACCTATTGAGTGAAAGAGCTAGTCAAGTCTGACCTGAAACAGACTTAATTCCACATTCCAGTCAGGTCAAGTTTAAGAGTTAGTGAAGGCTAAGTTAGGTCTGCAAGTGTGCTTGATTTCTTTCTGAGAACAAAACTAAGAAGGTCACTCTCTCCTCTGAATACTTTAGAAATAAGTACCTTTTATAGTTTGGCAGGCTAAGCCAGATGGAAGGATTTTAGGCTATGGAGTCTTCATAGTTAGGTGGCCACACTAGTAGTAGTAAAGGCAGCCCAAAACATCAGTTATTTTTAGTCCTTGGAAATGTAGGCCAGATTGGGACAGATTAGTAAAGAAGTTCTATTTAATGTTTATTAAAAGCTAGTATAAAGCCAAGGACAAAGGCTGCAAGGGGACACAGGAGATAATCGAACTGCAGTTAAGTGTTCAGGAAGGATAGTTTTGGCTTAACCTGTTGGTTGTCTGGGGAAATACAGGGGAAGGGTGCTCACTACTACCCCAATTAGTACCTCTCTGCTATATTTACTCTCCTGGAGTTTCTCTTTCTTCCCACTGCCAAAGCCCACCCCATGCTACCTCTAGCTCACAGCAGCTTTAACCCTGTATTCTAGAATGCTGGGGCAAGTTGAGAGAGAAGAGCAAGAAAAACTGATTGGATGTGGACAAACAGAGATTTTTTTGGGCTCCATCCCTTTTCAAACTACCACATCCCTGTATGACTGTATACACACACAAACACCCACAGTCCTCTTCGTTACATTAAAAAAAAAAAAAAAGATAAACACAGATTAGGAGAAACAAAATGAAATGTCAAAGAGACATACTAGATATCATTGCCTCTAGAGAGTCATCCTTAAGTATACCCTTTCCCCCAACCTCTATCCTTCCCTCTAGAGCAGAGAAGCCTCTCACTGTGTGTCCAGAGTGCTTTGGTGATATCTCTCATTGTGCTTATCACATTGTATTTTATTGTTTGCCTATATAGTAGCTCTCTCCTCACCTAGACTGTGAACTTCTTACAGCTAGAATGTCTGTGTTATTTACTGTATGCCTGTGGGTGAGATGAATGAATTGCTATGATTTCCAGTGTTCAGTGATTTCATAGTAAAAATGGACGGTAGGAAGTATGTGATTATTCCACTAAAAATTCATGATAAAATAATTTATGACTCTTGCTTTCTTGTATTTTATGCATTTAATTCATAATGATGAGCCTCCTTATAATGATATAAGTAGTTAGTGGCTATGGATAAAGGTAAATAGTTTTCAAGCACAGCCGCGTTACTAAAATGTCACAGCCAAGTGTGGGAATCTATGGAAAAGTGAATAGTTAATAATCTGAAAGTGATCTAGTAAGAAAAATTAAATTGGGTAAACCAAACTCATTCAATTAGTTTATATCTAAGGTGCTAAACCATGCTGCTACATTTGGTTCTGATATCCATCAAACCAAAATAATCGATATTAACACAATCAGAATTCCCAGTTACTCTATATGTCATCATTTCTCAAGAAATCAAGATCGTTTTTTCAGAAAGTTAATTCACTATAACCCAACATGGATTAACATGTTCGGATTGAGGTCAGTGTGTATCTATTTTTACAGGGAAAATTCTAGATCCAAAAATGCCTCATTAGTACAGATAATATGAAATATACTGAAATTTCAGCACACTAAAAAAAGGTGGATGGTCTTTTACCATTGTAGTAGAATTCAAGCCAAACCTGAAAACTAACTAAAATATATTTTCATCACCCCCCTTTTTTCCAACCTTATAAAACCAAATAATAACTATCCAGGAAATGTTGTATCTATTAATTACTATATAATTAACCTTACCACTTCCCAAAGAAATTATGTATTTTTAGTGTCATGTACTTAAAACTATTGATCAGCATATTTTAGTTTTTAAAATATATTTTGGTTTAGAATTGCATATACTTCCCAATATGAGAGTAACACCTCATTTTATCCTCCATTACAGAAGACAATAGATGTACATCTTCGAATGCAGCATCCTGCACCAAGTGCCTTGCTCTGGGTCCGGAATGTGGATGGTGTGCTCAAGAGGTGTGCCTTTTTCTTTCTTATTTTCTTTCTTCTTTCTTTCCTTTCTCTTCTCTTCTCTTCTCTTCTCTTCTCTTTCTCTTTCTCTTTCTCTTCTCTTCCCTTGCTTTTCATGGTGACCACTCTAGGCATGATCTGATTGATCTAATATTTTGTGCTTTGAAGGTGTGTCAGGAAAAAGAAGTATACTGCTGAGCATCAGGAAAATTTTATTTGGTTGTATGCTTGGAAACAGTATATCTGCCTGACTATAAAATAAAGTATAACCTCTTCATTAGGAAAATTATGGTAATTTTGAAATGAAGTACAAGCCATTTTATGTTTTCCATCTGTCCTATAGAGAGAATTGGCAAACACAGATAGTGACTTTTGATAGGTCAGTAGGCTTTGTGTGAGATTCTTGCTGCAGCTTGGGGCATTAGGTTATTATCTAAGTTGGACTGTAGTCTTGTACTTGCTTAGTAAAGAAAAGCAAGTTAACTTATTGGGCTGTTTCATTTGTTTTTATTTGAAATACTTAGAGATAAGTTATTTATTCCATTTCATAACACTGTGTATCAATTCATCAGTTACTTATGAAAAACAGTATGCTTTTCCTTTGACATGTGACCCTATTCATTATACATTTAAATTCTGTGGAATGGAAAATAGATCAGAAATCTTTTATTCAAAATTAGTGTCTTTATATTCTAACAAGAGAAATATATTTCAATAACAAAATTCTTAGTAAAACACATATAATGCATTCCTTCTTTCCTGGCTGTGAAGTTGTTTTGTGAATTTTTTCTTTTGTTGATAATCTTCCATCAGAACTACTTTACAAAATAAATCACAATGAAGAAGCAAACTATAATCTGGGGTTCTTTTGTGAAATTGAAGAGATAATTTTACATTTGTTTATGTAGTTCATGTGAATTAGAACAAAGAGATCTTTAATGACCTTTTGCTTGACATAAAGAAAAATCTAGCTTTTGTTTCCTCTGATTTTACTTAAAAACTGTACCTACCATCATCTTTCCAACCTCTCCTGTTACCACTTGCCCTTATCTTAGCATCTCTCAGAAGGAAAAATAAAACTGAAAAGTAGCAAAGGATGGTGGACACTACTTTCTTCTAAAGCAAGTCAGTAAAGAGGGGAGGGGTTAACAAAGTAGTCTTAGCCATGTCTGAAAGTAAGTGTTCCTCCTACTGACAACCCAAAGGCTTCTTGGATATACTCTAGGCCTTACCAGTGAGAAAATCAGATGTCACTCAAAACTAGGAAGTGCTTCACCAGAACCCATGGAATGAAGCAATGCCAGAGGGAGAACAATTTCAGAATTTCTGTGACAAATCCCATCACCTCCTATGAGACAAATGACCAGACAGAATTCACTCTATTCTCTGAGCCTCTCTTTCTTCATCTATAACCCTCAGTTTGGAGTTTACTTCTAGGTTTTTCTGTCAAGAGTGTTTCATGGCTTTATATTTCCTGAACCTAGGCCAATACTCCATTTTAGATTTTCACTAAGGAAGCCATGAAGTTTGTGTCAACTTGATGTCAGCTGCTGAGAACTTTAGTAAGTACAGTTTAGAGGGACTTTCAACAGATGATTAAGACACCCAGTTGTTCAGCCAAATGTAACGTGCCGTCCATATAAAATTCAAGGTTCTAGAGGGACCCCCTTATCTGATATCATTGCTGGCACAGAAAATCTGGAGAGACTCAGTTATGGGAATAGCAAATGTCAGTCCTGCCACAAGAGGAAGGATTTTGAGTATTCAGAGAAATTGGTAGCCAAATGGCAAGGGGTAATCCAAGGGGAAATGTGAGGTGGCTGCCAAAGCACAGGAGGCAAACCCATGTCTGCTGTTGATCAAATGCTTCAGAAGAGTATCTCAGAAAACATTTGGAAATCACTTGGCTATTTATGTCCCAAAATATCCATCTGTGTAGTACAGGGTCATCTAATTCATATATTGGAAAAACAGGCTCTGAAATGAGGTCAACTTGGATTCAAATCCTAGGGCCATCAGTTTCTAACCATATAAACTTCGATACATTTCTCTAACTACTCTGAACCTCAGTTTTCCTTAGCTATAAAATGGAAATAAATATTGTACCTATGGCATACTATTGTGAGGATTAAATGAAACTGTATGTGACAAGAATTTGACACAGGCATTGCTTAAGAAATGATGTTGTTACTGTAAGAACTTGAGTGAGACTCCAGAGCAACTTACTCAGGTTTAGGAAACTAAGAAGACTGTGTTAAGAATACAACTTAGGGGGAGGCAACCAGTATTAGGACTCAGCCACTAGCCACATCATTAACAGAAGGAGCTGTCCACTCGCTGAAGGCTGGCCTGACATCCTCAAGAGGAAGAATACAATGGTTAATTTTGAAAGATTACCTACCATTAGGCATATATGCAACTGATGTCTTTTATTTCTTAACCAGCAAGAGTTGAGGAACAGGGAAAGAATAGGCATTTTTTTTCTCTATTAATGATTAGAATAGATAAACAGTAACAGTAACAAATTAAGCCTGGTGTATATAATTTTCACAGCTGGTCAAAAGTAAAAGATCCCTAGAAAATCTGGAAAAGGTATATTCAATTTGCCTACATTCTTGTATAGCATGTTAATCTGATGTTCTAGATGTTTTGCCTTCTTTTTCTCTCCATGCTACATAAAAATAATTGGAAAATAATTAGGATGGAGAAGACCTTATCAATATTACTGAGTTTAATGCATCAACCTCCCTTTTAACATATGTAAACGAATTAATGAGTTTTGACGAATTCTCTTCTTCTCCTGAATGCTATGTCACACACAGATTGTGATTACATAGTCAGAAGTTTAGAGGGCAGCCTTCGAACATAATTATACTAAAATACAACGCAAAGGGTATTCACTGTCAAAAGGAAGATGATAGAGTTCTTTCATTTCCTTGCAGATTGCCATGTTTGGAAATCAGAAAGGCTCAGAAATAAGAAGAAAAAACTTCTTATTTTTCCCCCAGATAATTATGTTGAATGAATGAAAATAACAAATGATGAAAAGCTACCTGGGGTAACTTCAAACCTGGGCTTTTCATTTACAAATGGGATTTAGATGCAAACGGAGTATGGTTTTGCTTGTGTATTTCTTGCAGAAAAAATAAAACATAAGAATTAGAAGAAATTAAAATGACACAAAACACCACAAATTAAAAGGGTGTGGTTTCAAATTCTTTTCTTTTATACAAAGTGGAAAGTAGGCCGCAGTGGGCAGGGGCAGCATTCCATTCTTTATTTTGTTGTCACGGTCTTTTCTTCCCTTCTCAAACCTAATTGTCAAATTGGCAGTGCTTTTCTAACTCAGTTTTTACAGAGGAGTAAAAACAGCCATGCTGATTCAGACATTGCAAAATAATTGAGACTATTTTGCCTCTTTCAGCAAAATGATTTGACATTTAAAGGTCAAATGGCATAGTGTGATGTATAGTTGCAGTGAATTAACTGTACTCTCTTCTTTTCCATTTCTGTATACATAACAGAATCCCTAGCTGAAAAGAAAAATCAGAATTACTTGTACTTTATTTCCTTTCTTGATTTGAAGTCTTGGCGTTTTTACATCTATTAAATGCCAGTGGCCCTTTGTCTGTGGCCTGTCATAAACATAGAGGTACCAAGCCTTATAATACCCTTAGTATTGCTCAAACTCTAGGACAGGAGGGATCCCCTCATCTAGCTTGGAGCTTTCTAAAGAAAGTGATACATATGATAACAATATATGGCACTGTTCTTTGAGCTAAATCTTATATTGAGTACCTTTAATTTTATCAATGGACAGAATAAATTTGGATACTAGAAATTAAGGCTTTGGAGATTTTAAACATTATGCTAAAAATCTAGCAAAGCAAACTGAAATTTTTCTATTCCCATGAAGACAGTTACCAGATGACAGCTGGAAGTCTTGATTGAAAAGAATATATCCTCTTTTGTCTCTTAATATATTTATATTACAAGGGTGCTTCACACTCTAATTCAGGATCAGTACTGTAAAAGGCCCCCACAGAAAATATTTTTTTTTAAATTTTATGGGCCACATAATGTTTCTCTTGCATGTCCTTGTTTATTGTTTTATAGCATTTTTAAAATGTAGAAAGCATTTTTTTTTTAGCATTCGAGCAATACAAAAACAGGCCATGGATTATTGTATTTGTCCCACCATCCCTAGTTTTTGAACTCCTGTTCTAAATTAAGAGTGGAATTAAATTAAAATCCTTGTATGAATGTTTTTATATTGCCTACCACCATATTATCTAATACCAGTGCCACAGATGTTCCTATTCATAATTAGTGATCTAATTATCTAATCAATAACTAATATTGAATATGGTAATTTCCTTCCTCCATAACCCTTTGAAATTCTATGCTTCCCCTAAATTAATGCTACCATAATAATTACATTTACCTGTTTAATGGCTGGATTCACCAATGGCCTATTGACTCTTAGGTGACAAGGTATCTGTCTTGTTCCATTCTGTACCCTCAGCACCTAAAAAGTACTGTTCCTGTGTAAGTATTCAATCTGTATTCTTTGATTGAATGATTACTTGGAAACTCAGTTCCCTGAATCAACTGAACTAAAGGAGGAATGACTGACTATCAGAACAAAATAGCCACTGCCAGGAAAATCACTGAGCAAATCATCTAGCTACTGTGTAAGCAGATATTCCAAATAATTTAGGGCAACATTATATATAATAAAATATACTTTCAATATGTTTCCTGTTCTCACGGAAAAACCTGGATGGTTACATGAAAAATAAAAATATCAATTTTTTTTCTCAGGATAAATTGAATTTTAAGCTTGTTCCACTAATTCCAAGTTTCTGGGATGGCTATTAAGTAACAAACAAATAGCCAATGCCAAATGGTAATAAAAGTTCTAGATTCAGTTGCAAATCCATGATCATTTTAGCTGCAATCTTGTATCTCCCAGCCTCATTATGAATATCTGTCTTGGCTTATTAAATTATTTATAGGCTATTATGTGTCAAAGAAGTTGGGGGGTTTTATGGTCTAAGGAATATAGATCTCCAATTCATCCTTTTGTGAATTTTCAGTACCTTATTGGGCATGTGATTCCTAAGGACTTGCTCTCATATTCCAAATATAATAATTTATAATACATATACCAATTGAGTTGAGAACTGAGACTTACATTTGGAACAACTGAATGGTCTATTTTGGAAAATTTTCTTTTGAAGCCATCTTTCCAATGTAAAATATTTAGAAAGAATTAAGTTGGCATAATTTCACAGTGATCAGTTAACAATATTTAAAGTACTTGGTTTAAATCTCCTCTTTAATATTCATTTTCTTCTTTTTAAATATGATTTAGGAATTAAAACTTTTTTAAGACAAATTTGTTAGTATTCTTATTTGAAACAAGCAGATATTTTGAAGAGTTGCATAACTTGTATGACATTGGAAGATGGCTTCTTTGCAGTATTTGCTGTGTGGTTTTCTTTGGTTATAATTGAGATGATATGCACTAAAAACAACAGTGATTTTCCTTCTTTTAAACAGGATTTCATTTCAGGTGGATCAAGAAGTGAACGTTGTGATACTATTTCCAATTTAATAAGCAAAGGCTGCTCGAGTGAGTCGATAGAATACCCATCTGTGCATGTAATACCAAATGAAAATGAAATTAATACCCAGGTGACACCAGGAGAAGTGTTGATCCAGCTGCGTCCAGGTTTGGTGATTTTCAAATAAATCTATGATGATTCTGACTTGAAATTACATTTAGCTTTATTTGCTTATATTTAATATTTTGTGAAAGGCAATATTAATGTAAGAGACGTAACAGTGGGCTCAGAATAAAGAAATCAGCATTCTGGTTTTTTTTTGTGCTTACAGCTAGCTAGCTGTGTGGCCTCGGACACTGCAAACCTGACCACACTATATTATAATTATGTGTTTCCAGACTTGATCACATTGTAGTATAATTGTGTTCCAATTCCATTGCCAGCTCTTGAAGAAAGAGAACATGTTTTATTCCACTCTTTCTCCAAAGCCTCACAGAGTGCTGGCTTTTAGTAAGCACTCTAGAAGTATTTGTTGACATCATTAGTTGATTGATTAATTACTAAGAAATGTAAATTAAGCTAATTCCTTAGATCCTTTGTGATAAACTTTTAAACACCAAAATACAATTCATAATATCATAATTAACTTGAGCTGCTTTGTGATGGTTCCTGAGATTAACACATACTTCTCCTATACTTCTGTTATACTTGCCATTTCATCACATTGTATTACACAGTTTGGTACATGTGGTAGGCCACTGGAAATTATTCATTTTCTTCCAGTGTTAGAGAATCCCAGTATACAAGCTACATATGGCAAGATAATTTCAGGTACACAGGTATGCATCAGTCAGTTAGATGCATTTAGATTTAAGCAATATGCATTTGACTTCGAGTCTTCATTATTTCATTCTGGGTGGTCTTATCCTGGCATTAAATTTTTAAATAACCATTGCTGACGCATGACCTCCTTATTCCAAAGTGGAGCTATTTTACCAGATTCTTCAATTACCAGAAAAATAAAGTGTATTTCTTTCTTGGCCCCAGGCATTCCCAGCTTCCAATTAAAACTATGCTCTTCACCATATAAGACAATTATACATCCCAGTATGGACATAAACAAGCAACAGTTGGAAAGGGATACACAAAAATGAAAGTAATTAGGTTGGTAAGATTATGCCATTCTCCATCTTCTATTGGTACCATAACAAAATTCTGTACACTAGGGACTTAAATGACAGAAATTTATTTTCTTACATCCTAGAAGTTAGAAATTAAAGATCAAGGTACTGGCTGATTTGGTTCCTAGGGAGGGAGAAAAGACATACAGGGAGAGGAAGATGGAGACAGAGGTCTCTGATGTCTCTTCCCATAAGGGTACTATTCTCATCACGAGGGTCCCACACTCCTTACCTCATCTAAACCTAATTATCTCCCAAAGGCTCCATCTCCAAACACCATCACATTATGGGTTAGGGATTCCACATACATTTGGAGGGAACACAATTTAGTCCATAGCTCTTGATATATAAAATAATATTTTCAAAGGCCATGGTGTAATTTTGGATATTAGTCATACTTTAGACAAGAAAATCTAATTCCAAAAAGTTAAAAGTATTTTTATAGGTTAATATCTGTACACTGTGTTATAAAATTTGAAATCAGTATAAGACAATAAACAAATATTAAATAACAAAGAAAAGTTTCTCATAAATAAAGTCTACCTCCAAGAATAAGTAAAAACTCTAGTCATAGACCATTTAATAATAACAATAACAACACACATCAAAATACATGAAATGTGAATGAAATTGCTCCCAGAAAAATTAAGATCTTTAAATGCTTTTATTATTAAGGAAGAATGAACAAAAATTAACTAAGCATCCAAATTAAGATATAGGAGTAAAGAAAATGGCCATAAGAAAAACAAGAGGAAGGAATGCATAATGAAATGAAAAATAGAAATTAAAATGTAAAATGGATGTATAAATCCAAGAGCTAGTTCTTTGTAAAGTCCAATAAATAGATATATTGTTAGCAACACTAATTAAAAAAAAGAAGAAAAAAGTAAATAACCCAGTTATATAGATTATAACCAGAGAAATGAATATTAAGGAAAAAAAGACATTAAGAAAATATTACTCACAAAAAATCTATGGTAAAATGTATAAATCTTAGTAATATACATATTTTTAAGAAGAATATGGATGACTAATATTGACTCAAGCAGAGAGTGAACCCTAAGAAACCTAATAAAGATCAAAGAAATTAAGAACATTATAAATTTATGAAATACCAACATTAGGTCTAAATGTTTTCTTCAGAATAAATGATTTAATGTTCACCCAAACTTTAGGAAATACATTATCCCTGTACTATATAAACACTTCCATTAGTTTTAGGAAAGGCCTAGAAGCTACTCAATTTGTACAAGGTTAGCATAATCCTAGTATTAAATCTTTAACATTTTAGGAAATCACATTAAACCATGTGTGATAAGAAAACTAATGCCGAAAGGAAAACTATTTATATTTTGTTATCTCAACAGATGCTCAAAATTCATACAATAAAATTAGGTGTCTATTCTTCCAAAACCAAAATTGAAGAATAGTTCCTTAATATATATTAAAATCCTTATGGAAGTTTTATGTAAAAGCAGTTAAACAAGAAAACCAAATGTGACTTATAAATATTTTTAAAAGATAAAGCAAAATTATCATCATATGTCTATCTCATAAATCCAAGCAAATCAACTAAACAAGCTTTTAAAATAGAAAACAAAAAATAGGGGCACCTGGCTGGCTCAGTCCATAGAGCATTCAACACTTGATCAGGGTCATAAGTTTGAGCCCCATCTTGGGCCTAGAGTTTACTTTAAAAAAATAATGTAAAAATAAAAAAATAAATTTCTCAGCCTTTGTTACATAAATAAGGTATGCATATTTTAAAAAATAAATAAATACATAAATATATACATATATATGTTAATAAATAAAATGGCAGGCTGTTTCTTAAAATATTCAAATCAATGGATTACCTATGTAATATTAAATATAATAAATATAAACTGTCTAGGGATAAACTTTAAATGTGTAAGATTCATTGTGCTACCTAGAAGAAGATATGAATAAATGCAGAAGAATTCTATGTTGCTGATTAGGAAGATAATATTATGACAGAAAGAGTTAAGATCAGAGTATTAAGGGGAACCTGGGCTTGTCTGTCTCTCAAACACAGGCAGAGCAACATCAAACCATTTTGGACACCTAGGAAATCGATCTGAGGATTAATAGAACAATCTGCGTAATTTGAGAGAGAGAACATGACAGCTTCTCCTAACAAGCAAACCAAAAAACACCTAGGATCTAGGATCTAAAAAATTATTTTTAATCTTTAAATTTTTATTTCATTCTATTATTGTTGTTGTTTTTTCTTCCTCCAAAATGACAGGATGGAGGAATTCACCTCAAAATAAAGAATAGGAAGAAATGATGGCCAGGGATATAATTAATGCAAATGTAAATAAGATGTTGGAACTAGAATTTAAAACAAAGATTATAGGATATTAACTGGGGTTGAAAAAAGCATAGAAGACACCAGAGAATCCCTTTCTGCAGCGATAAAAGAACTAAAATCTAGTCAGGCCAAAATTAAAAATACTATAACCAAGATGCAAAACCAAATGGAGGCCATAAAAACAAGGATGGATAAGGCAGAGGAGTGAAAGAGCAATACAGAAGATAAAATTATGCAAGATAATGAAGCTGAAAAGAAGGAAGCAAAGGTCAGGGATCATAAAGGCAGACTTAGGGAGCTCAGTGATTCACTAAAACGTAATAACATTCATATCTTAGGGGTCCCAGAAGATGAAAAGAGAGAAAAGGGGGCAGAAGGTTTATGTGAGTAAATTACTGCTGAAAACTTCCCTAATTTGGGAAGGGACACAGACATCAAAATTCATGAAGCACAGAGAACTCTCATTAAATTCAACAAAAGGAAAGAATCCTGAAAGCAGCAAAGAAAAAAAAAAAAAAAAGCCCTTAACCCACAAAGGGAAGACAACAGATCTGTCCACTAAAACATGGCAGGCCAGAAAAGGAGTTGCAAAAGATACTCATATGCAGAATGGGAAGAATATGCAGCCAAGAACACTCTATCCAGCAAAGCCATCATTCAGATTAGAAGGAGAAATGAAGTCCCAGACAAACAAAAACTTAAAGAGTTTGTGACCACTAAACCAGCACTACAATAAATTTTAAGGGGAATTCTGAGTGGAGGGAAAAAAAGTAGCAAAGACTAGAAAGGACTAGAGAGCATTACAAGAAATACCAACTCTATAGGTAACACAATGGCACTAAATTCATATCTTTCAATAATCACTCTGAATGGAAATGGATTAAATGCTCCAAACAAAATACATAGGGTATCAGAATAGCTAAAAAACAAACAAAGAAACAAAAACAAAACAAAACAACCAAGACCCCTCTATATGGTGCCTATAGGAGTCTCATTTTAGACCTAAAGACCTGCAGATCGAAAGTGAGGGGATGGAGAATCATCTACAGTGCTAATGGACATTGACGGAAAGCTGAAGTAGCAATACTTATATCAGACAAACTAGATTTTAAAACAGACTGTAACAAGAGATAAAGGCTTTATATCATAATTCAGGGGTCTATCCATCAAGAAGATTTAACAGTTATAAATATTTATGCCCCCATTGGGAAACCAAATATATAAATTAATTAATAACAAACATAAAGAAATATGCTGATAATAATCCAAAATAGTGCAGGACATTAACACCCCACTCACAGCAATGGATATATTATCTAAGTAGAAATGAACAAGGAAGTAATGGCTTTGAATAATACACTGGACTGGATGCACTTAACAAATATATTCAGAACATTTCATCTTAAAGCAGAATACACATTCTTCTCAAGTGCACATGGAACATTCTCCAGAATAGATCACATACTACATCATAAATCAGCCCTCAAGAAATACAAAAAGATCAAGATCATACCATACATATTTTCAGATCACAATGCTATGAAATTTGAAGTCGACCACAAGAAAAATTTGGAAAGCCCTCAAACATATGAGTTTAAAGAACATCCTACTAAGGAATAAATGGGTTAACCAGGAAATTAGAGTAAATTAA